GGCATAACTCGGTGCCTTTTTTGGCCCATAGCAGTGCCAAATATCTGCAAATAGTTGTTACCATTAAATGTGAAATTATTGAGACTTAATGTGAGGGAACGTATTATGGTCGATGAAGTTTTAACTGGTCTGCGGTCAAGGACTTCCTGGCACGCAAGAATACCTTCTTCAATGGGTATTGGTATAAAGGGACGTCACATCAAAGGTGCCCAAATGCTTAGGAATCTGACCTAAGTTGTTTAGTTTGTGTAAGAAATGTGTAGTGTCTTTTATATGTGGTTCAAAGGATGTTACCAAATGCTGTAAATAGTGGTCAACAAATTCTGGTATTTTTTGTGTAGGGTGGTTAATAGTTGAAATGATTGGTCTGAAGTGCGACCCCTCGTTGTGGATTTCAGTTAGCATATAGATTTTACCAGGACTTGGGTTGGTGATATTATTTTCAACCAGTTCATTTTCGTTAGCTCCCCTAATAAGTTTGTTGATTTTGTTGGTCGGATCTGATTTTAATTTTTTGTAATGTTTAGTGTTTAGTGTTATTGGCTTCAGAAATAAAAAAAAATTGTATCCATGATCGCAATAGCTTGATGACAATATCTTGTCTCTTCGCCAGATCGACAAGGGCTTCTCTTTCTGGTTTGCTAAGGTTATCTCAGACTTTGTTATGGTAACGACTGAAATCAGTGACATCATCATTAACTAGGGTAATACGTTTCTAAGTACGGGTCACGATTGGGGGGGGGTGTAAAAATGAACTTTTTTACGAAATTGGTCAGCTATATAAAATTCTGTTTTCACCTTCAATGTAAAAAAATGTATGTATTTTAATTGAGCGCTTCAACTTTAACATTTGGTGGTGAATTGGTTTATGAATTCTAATGTCATTGAAGTTCAACAACGACATACCTACGTTTAGCACCATTAATGGGTACATGTACATTTATTGTATGACTACAATCTGTTTTAATACGAAAATAACACGAAGATTGTCGCAATAATACACTTGGTCAGGAAAACTGTTGTAGAACTGAACTGGCAAAAGTAAACAACCTGACCTGTCCAATAACAAACATAAAAATATATTCCGAACGTTAACCTCAATGCGGTATTGAAGAAATCCACTATTCTATTCCCACTTAATATAGAAACACTTATTTCAAATGTAAAGAGGAATGTAACGAACTTCTTGAAATTGCATAAATATCTTGAGCACTATTGGAAACAGAATCTAGTGCTTGTAGGAAGATGCTGGGAGACATATCAACTCTAGTGTTTTTGTGTTTCAGCATACATGGCTAAGGCTGTAGTCCACACCAGTCATCTTAACAACGGCATCGGTGATTCTATTGAAATTTATATTCACAGCATGTACACCGAATATAAATATTCTCCAACTATACTTATGAGCACAAGTGGATTGCCATCAGCAAGTGTCGAATAAACAGAAGCCGAGTTTCGTCCCCTTGGTGGGTTATCTATTAGTCTATGTTGCGTACACAACGCAATTGAAATGATGCTTGTCAGGTAAATAAGCCCTGTTACCACGACTACATCTGTGTAATGAATTAGTTTTCGCGTATCTGTTGATCGACTTATTTAGCTGATTACTAGTGAATGGCTATTTCTGACAGTTGGTATTCTCAGTTACTAATATAGTGAGCGATTAATCAAAAAATATGTGTGAAGGCCACGCCTTGGAGTCTTTTAACTTTTCTGTAATTGGTTAAGTTTTGATATGTAATAAACAGTCTAAGTCCTTTGTCACAGAGAGCGAGGGAGTCTTGGTCAGTGTTGGGCAGAGACCCCACGAGGCAGTTTGCCTTGAGGCGTTCTCGATGTGGCTAACGACGAGCTATTGAAACGTATTTCGTTGTGTGCGTCTATTTGACTGTTAAGCTTAAGTGACTTTCCCGGTCCGGTACCTCAAGCAGACGAGATACAGAGACAGAAGAAAATTTTACCCTGACATCTGTATTGTATTGTATTACGAAGTCCTCACTGCTAATTCACATTCTACATCTGAAATTTCTGATGTCTTGGGGTTTCAGAGGAAAATGTGGCCGAGGTTAAACGTGTATTCGCAGTGTATCGAGATATACAAAATAACATGCCTACTCAGGTGTGGTTTCCATGACTAATAGCATCTTATTTGTTTCAACAGATACAACAGATACAACAGATCAACAACAGCCGCAGTATAAACCAAAATGAATCAAATGGGACAAGGTGCCAAATCACCGAATGAGCATCATCAGTTTAAGTTGCAAGCCAGTGGCAATCAACAAAATGCTGCAAGTAAAGAAAGCGAACCACTGCAGCACGCGGAAAATCATTACTGGAAGGCAATCGTCGGAATATCAATGGGATTACTGTCAGGTTGCAGTCTCGCCATCTCTGATGCATTTGCTCTATTGTGTATTAAGTTTGGTTATTCCCCGGCACAAGTCTTACTTGTAAAATCATTAGTAATGATGGCAATAATGATTCCATTGCTAATCTATAAGAGAATTGATATTTTGAAACTGAAACGGAAAGATACTGTATTGAACATTGTAAAAAGCATTTGTGAAAATGCAGGAGACATATTTTTCTATTATGGTATGAATGCAATTGGAATGGGTGATGCTACTTCAATTGCAACTGGCTCACTTCCAATATTTTCCCCTCTGTTTGCCTGTATTTTCATACAAGAGAAGTTTAGATTCCATGACTGTATTGGCTTGGTGATAAATGTTGCAGGAATTATTTTAATATCCCAACCTGAATTTATTTTTGGCAATGGCACAAACCCGTCTTCAAGCATAGGGTATGTGTATTCCATTCTAGCAGGACTCTTTCTTTCCACTGGCACTGTATGTTCGAGAGCAATGTCCAATGACTTGTCTCTCATAGTTGTAATATTCTATAACGGTGTATTGGGTACTGTACTTACGTTGATACTGGTAGTCCCAACAAGTAATCATCGAATGTATTCATTGATACCATACTATCCTATTACTATCCCATATATGGTAGGAATGGTAATATGGTTTCTTGCATACCTATACTCATTTAACAGAGCTTTACAAGTGCAGAGTGCTGGTAAAACCAGCATTCTACTTAACATTAGTCTTATTGTCAGCTTCATTGGTGATATCATTGTATTTCATAAACATGTAGTGAATTTAGAAGTAATTGGTGCAGCACTTATCATTTTCAGTTCTATTGTTGTTTTCCTGGTTAGCTGCTATGAGACCAAACAAAACAAAAATGAAGAAACAACACTTATACTAAAGCCACAGCAACATTCAATAGGACTAGATAAAAAGCCATAAACACATATTATGTTATGTATGTTTAGTATTCTCCTGGCATCAGTGTATTTTATGGAGGTATTTTCTTCGTCATTACAATCTCCATATTTCGGATACCTTAATTGTAGTGTCTCTCATTTAGTTATACTTTGGCAAAGGCATCTGTGGGCCGATTTTACATTTTTGTAATCCAGTGATGACATTTATATACATTTATTATTTATCATCATATATCATCACCATAATAATCATAATCACAGTAAACACTGTACGACAGATAGATGAATGTCTTATGAATTTCTCGTCGGCAATATTATGCCGGAGAATATCACAATACAACTTGAATGTATTAAGTAATGCTCAACTGTACGCAATTGAGTAAAGGAATTTGGTTGGGCGATTGTAGATTAATGAAATATTGTATTTATTTGTAACACTACATCATTGTTCCAGTATTTATCTGTATTTAAATCCGTGACTGTATGTTGATATCAAAAATGTTTAAACTTTTATCATTTCATTAGTATGAATATAGAGTTGAATATCATGCACATTAAAAACGATTTTTAATATTTCAATATGCTTTAGCTTTAAAAATACAACAGTGATACTTGTCAACTGCAGTGTGTTGTGCGTGTAAAATGATTCAGCCGCCATGTTGTCTTGTCCGCCAGTGACTACTGGGTAACTTTATTTTCTTAATCTGAACTTTGGCGGAGATTATTACATAAATAGTATACCATGCAAAGTACATAGTTTCAATGTAACATACACCACATGCCCCTTTTCACTTGTTTCTTATCATTTATGAATTTATTTACGGTTTTGAATGGTGCTCACAATACTTAAAATCAGTCATCGAACTGTACCCACTAAGTCACAGACAGTATTTTATTTCTTACAACAACTTGAAGATCAAAGGAAAAACTCACTGAGAACTGTTTTAAATAACATTTTCTTTGGAATCAAAGTAAACTTGGTTATAATTCGACGCGTGGAATTCATGTGATCTTTTGCAGTATAAAAGTGGTGGTTTATTTTAATATTACAGTGCAAGAACCATTAAAACAAATAACTCATAACAGTTAACAGTCATTTGCGAAAGAAAACATTGACTTTTTAACTGGGGTTCCCCTTTTGACACTCTACCAATACCAGTAGTAATGTTTTGCGAACCTTAACATGTTCATATTTTGTTTTAGTTGGAATGTTTCCTACACTTGTGCTACTTCATAATTTATGTTGAACCCTTTTCATCACTTAAGTCGGAAATGGGGTTAGCAATTGTTTCAGATGGGTTTCAGTCATCAAGCAGGGTACATGTGTCCTGATGTAGTTTCAACAAGCACACTTCTAGGCTGTTGCAATGTTTTCTTTACTACTCCATAATCACATTTCCAAATCTTACAGAAAACTATTGGCAAATGTTATGGCTGGCTGTGTTATTATAGTAGTATTTCTGCTTGCATTGCTTGGCCTTTGGAACAATGTAAGGTTTGACCAGGTTTTCAGCAGTTGTAGGTTTTGATTCTAACAACTAAGGGGGTGTTCCGATATTCTAACAATGACATGTACATATCTTGGCCACTTTTTTTTCATTAACCGCTTCAGTTTTCACAGAACTTTGACTTTGTTTTGATTTACTATTTCTTTGTGGCTTACGTGTAGTTTTTAATGCATACTTGAAGGAATTACCACTTGATTGTTGCGAAACAATAGGCATTAGAATAGGTGATTTCATCGCGAAATGTATGAAAAAAGGCTTAGCATCATCCGGAATATGTGCCCTACACTTTGACCATCCTGAAAAACCGCGGTTTTCTCACGCAACATAGCTAGTTTCTGGTCAGAAATGTGCA